ATGGCTGGCTAGTTTCAAGATGAACTTGCTCCAGAGGCCTAGAAAACAAAGTCATACAGTACAGTCTTAGACAAATGCTGAAGGACAAGGAGAAACTGAGTCAAACGGGTCACTGGAAACCATAAAGAAAGAAGTGTGAAAAGGGTGTGTTTTTTATCTTGTGCCTTGACACAAGAACAGAAGGCCCTAAATGTTTCCTCATGTCTGCTATTAATATCTATTTAAAATACAACTGCACTTAGAGCATTTCACTATTAGAACTAATTCTCATGTCGAAAAGAGTAAAGACTTTTTTTTTTTTTACAAAAAGAAAGGAAAAAAAAAAAAGAAAGAAGAGCTGACCTGATTTTCTGACACCCAATTCTGGGATTATAGGTGCTACTAGCACAGAATAGACCTATGAATGAAGATGTGGGTGAGGCCTTCATCAGTGTTTTGGGGAAAGGTATCAAAAATTTCATGGAGGTAACTGCTGCTGTCCCACGCTCGTCAGTGTTTCACAATCTATTCAGCTGGAGCTGAATGGCCGAAAATGGAAGATCACTTGAGAAAACAAGGCCAAATCAGTTCCAAACAAGACAACCACATGGAGCAGCAGAACTGGGAGTAATTCAGCAGATGACTCTCAGGCTGAGCCCCAAGTGCTCAGCATCTTCTCCATCAGTCCTAGGAGGACTCTCAGCCAGTGCTAGGCTCAAATGCCTACTCAAGTTCCAAAAAGAGCACTCTTGACTTGAAAAGTACTTGTTTTGTCCTTTTACAAGGGAGGGGTGAATAAAGGTTTTAATTCCAAGCTGTCAAGTGCACATGTTTAAGTAGTGGTCCATGCTAGCACTGACGAAAGCGCAAATGGAGAACCACTACAAGGTAAACCAGTCGTTTGAATTGGAGATTATTGTAATAAAATCTTGGACTTAGATTTTTTTTTTGCCTGTGACTAGAGTGTTTGAACTCCCAATTCTCAACCACTTTAAAGGCAGCTTTGCAACTACAGCATTTAGACCACTGAAATTCCCAACATTAGTGTCTGTTTGAACAGCTAGAACTACTCCCAGAAGAAAACAGTAAATGAGTATAGAATTAGGTTTTTAGATGTATAAACATAGCAGCATTTAGGCATAAGCAAATCTAGAAACTGGTATGCTATAATGAAATAGCAAAACACGCAAAGCTACGCATCTATCCACGCTACAGCAGGAACCCATTCCAGCTTGGTCAAACAGTGCTCATGCAACATGGCTTCACATACATCACTGAAAATAAAATTCTACTGTTAGCACACACTAACTTAGATACCATTAGGTTAAAAACTTGTCCTCACGGTAAGGAACTGAATCAGGTCCCAAATACTCTGAGAAAGTAATGATGGAAGAATGTTTTATTTCACAAAGTCATACTGCACGATGACAAGTCATACCTTGCCCAGCCTGGCTCTCCATCATACGCTCTCAGCTCTCCAACTTCCAAACTCATCCTCCTATCTGTTATCTGTACCATATACAGCTGTTCCTTATTCCGGGCTACTCAGACATGCAATGCCTTCCTACCAGGCACACCGTAAGTAAAACAGGCTGCAGAAGCATAAATGATGCATTGTTCACTGTCTGTGTATCTGACAGTGTGAAATGGAAAGAGCACACAAGAGACAAGCAACGTAAGTAGTTGGCAATAAAAACAAACAACTGGGAGAAATGTCATTTGAGCAGGTTGAAAGGAATCACTGTATCCAATTCCTTGGCACTATGTAAAATAATTTGATGAGAGATTTAAATGCCTGGTCCTACTTCGCAACAATGGATGTGCTCAGTAGTGTTCTTCAGGCTTTTATGGTGAATGTAAGATGAACAAAATTTGTTCAGCTCAGGTCTGAAAAGAGGATTAAAGTTAAAATAGCCCAATGAATTCCATCTTATTTTGAGAGTACTCAGCAGCTGGGGCTGTTTGTGTGTACCACACAGCATGCTTGACTAATTCTAATGAAATGATACTGCATTTGTTTCATATGACACAGTTCCTTTCATCTTACTTTTACAGGAGATGGTCTCAGCTGTGACAAAAACTCTGCCATCCAGGTGATAGGCAAGCTCACAAACAGAAAAAGCAGAACATCTTGAGTGATACAGAGAACAAAAACTTCTCCTGAAGAAGTGCAGTCAGTAAAGACAAAGAGGGAGAAGAAGTAAAAGTGAAACTCTTGGAGGACCGCCACCTCCTCATCTGCACCTACCATTGGTTTTAGCTCTCTGCCCTCAGCTCCACCTCCTCGGCCAGCTTCTTTCATAGATTTCCTACTATTCTCCACAAACTCCTGAAAAAAAAACCAATTAAGCCACTTTCTTAGAGCAGACTCCAAACATCAAATCTCAAGACAAAACTTCAAGATGTAACTTCTCAAAACATCCACACAACTTGCTTCTCCCACTTCTCTTGCTCAGACTTATCCACAAAGCATCAAAAAAGCAAGTGGCACAAGCTGAAACAGGAAGATTAATCTAAATATGAGGAAGAACTTCTTTACTGTGAGGGTGACGGAACACTGGAACAGGCTGCTCAGGGAGGTCGTGGAGTCTCCTTCTCTGGAGACTTCCAAAATCTGCCTGGAAGTAATGCTGTGTAACGTGCTCTAGGCAATCCTGCTTTAGTAGAGGCATTGGGACTACACGATCTTTAAGGGTCCCTTCCAACTTCTAATATTTTGTTATTTGGTGATTTGCCTTGTGTACAACTGTTACAATTTCACATTTACCACATAACACTCTGCTTTATGAAGAAGGAAAGTAGAAGGGTGGTTGTAAAACAGGAAAAAAAAAAGTCAATCAACAAAGATCTCCAGAAAACACATGTCCTAATTATTACATTCTATCCTGTGAACTTTCTGTAATGTTACAACTCCATTAAATGGAGGCAGTTGAAGATAATTAATTGCAAGGCCTTGTTGATTTCCCTAACTTCCCTCAATTCAAACTCAAATTTTTCACCAGATCACAGTCACCTGGCAAAGGTGCTATTTTATGTATTTTTTTTCTCTTAAAGGCAAGCGTTCTATAGCAAATTTCAGTAAAGTTTAGCTGCTCATGTTTTGTGATATAGACTGCTGAGCAGAGAAACCCACAATGCTTTTATGATTTATCTGTGCTCTCTTCTGAGACAGTATGCTTGCATTTTGCTCTTATATTCCATGCTATGAAGCAAATCATCAGCTACTGTTTATTTACTATATACTCTAGATTCTGTAGTGTTTTACCAAAAAAATTCATGTTAAAATTTTTGGCATGGTTTTCCAACAAGCAGAAAAAAAACTATGCTAAGAAGTCATGAAATTCTTCCTCTAGCTTACACATTGGTGTACAATTTACAATATTATACTTAGCCACTTAAAAATATTGCCAATAAAACTACCTACTCAACAACAAACTGAAGGGCTTGAGGAGTAGGATTTTTACATCTTGGTCTCTAGCCAGAGCAAACAGGGAGTAAGATGGAACAAATAAACAAGAACTGAATTGCTCAAATTGACATAGCATCTAGGCTCCAGGATAGAACATAAAACCTGCTGTTTCTGTGTGTGACAGACTGGTTGTTGTCTGTCTGAAAGAAGAAAGTCTCCAGTGTGGTCACTATCTGCGTGTGGGGTAGAATATTCTGCTATCTTTTCTCTTTCACATCCTATGAGAGGTCCTTCTTAGAAAAGTACAAAAGCAAAGCCTTTACCCCTCCTTTTGCTTCTTTCTGTTCTAGACTGTACCATTTACAAGAAAGGACACCCAAGGGTATGATTCTACAAGGTGACTGCTCATCTAACAGGCAGCAAAAAGAAGCCAACACCAGTGATGCCAAGGAAAGGAAGCACCATTACTTATCTGATGTTCATCAGACCACACTATTTGCTGATAAAACCATGAGGAAGATAGCAAAGTAATCCACATTAAAAAAAGAAAAAAAACAACCCACAAAACTGTATTAAACTCAGCCAGTGAGTACATCACACTGTCAAAATACTCATACTATGGAACTTTATCCTTAGACTTAGAGAGCAAGGGGAAACTTACCATGAGAACTTTATCCATGTAGAATTCCCTCCCAGGGCTTCCATCATTGTATTTTGTATCGATGGCAAAACATAAGAAAAGGACATCAACAACCATTTCATAAATGGAAAGGAAGCAATGGGCAACCAGGAATGCAAAGAGGCAGACAATGATGAGGGGCAGCACCCAGATGGTGTAATCTCGTTGGTAATTCAGCAACATAATTCCAGCCAAACCTGTACTGCAGACAATCAGGACCTGGAGAAGAAAACAGGAGACAGCTCTAATGATAAAAACCTTTTGATAGGTTTGGTTTGGTTTGGCTTGTTTTTTTGTTTTAACCTATGTGCTTCTTGATCTGCCAGGGCTAGAATTAGAGGGTACAGATGCTAGTGGTAATGCCATCTTTTCCTCCTGGATTCCCCACACCCCTGAATCTAAACGATGTTTCATGCATTGGTCCAGCATGTGCAACTCAGAATAGTCTCAAGCACATCCTGCAACACAAAAGGTATTTTTCAGAGCAAATTACACTTATACGCTGCTGTCATAGTTCTCGTGTTATAGGACTTTCCCGGAAAAAAAAACCACCACCACCACCACCCTCCCCCCCAACACTTAATTCTGTCCACTATAAAACCCCTAGAACCTAATGCTACCAGTGAAAGAACATGCAATTGCTTCTTTGGTTGGGAAGTGAGAGAAGAAGATAGGTCCTAGGAGGATGGAATGTTTTTCACTTTGCAGTAGAAAAAACTTCTAGGCCTTTCACCTCCATACAGGAGAACGCAGATCAGAATTTATGTGAGGCCCTTAATGTAAGAGTTGCCCAGAGTAGTGGTGGAGTCTCCATCCCTGGAGGTATTTAAGAGTCAGGCAGACATAGAGCTTAGGTACACGGTTTAGTCGAGGACTTGTCAGTGTCAGGTTCACGGTTGGGCTTGATGATCTTAAAGTTTTTTTCCAGTCTAGGTGATTCTATGATTCTGTCTCCACAGAACTACACTATGTGTGAGGCCCTTAACAGATATTTCATTGGTACCAGTTTAGTTTTGGGGAATAGAGACTAAAACAATTACTGTGGCCGCTCAACATTTTGAACATTGTGGAACCTACTACTATGGACTGCAGCTAAGCATGAAATTATGAAACAGGTCAGCTTTACTGTATTATGAACATACCAGATTGAACTGGCAGAGGAGACAGGCTGGCAGCCTATCACTGTTTTAGCTGATACTCCTCCCATATGCTGCTCTGTTCCTTTTAACATTTCCATCACCTGTGCATTTTCTCTAATAATTTGAAAGACATATTTTCAGGGTGATATTTCCTAACACCTTTCAGACTCCTCCATAAAACCACGTTATGTAATTTCATGGTCTCCCAGGCACCTATATCTTCACTGTGTATTTACTTCTTCTCATATTCTACTGACTTAATTACTGGATAGGAAATGCAGCCCACTGTACTCTGACTTAATAAAGTAATAAGGAAGACCATTCAGTCCAGACAGGGCCTGAACGCTTAGGCACAGGTGATTTAAGTGGATTGCTATTAATTGCTTAAGTAAATAATGGCACAAAATCCTTCAAAGGACAAGAATAATTCACTGGCTTAACTTTCCATAAAGCATATCTCCATCACTTGGAGACCCAAAACACTGGGTGACCACAGCAATTTTTCTAGTCTCCTTTTAATTCTTAGAGTGGAAGTAAATTAGTTGCTTAAGCTGGCATTTCATCATAGCAGGCTTCTGTACTACTTTCCAGTCCAATTTTGTCATAAATCGTGATCAACAATGCATCAATTTCCAATGAAGAGCCCTTACAAAATTGAATTTAGAGGAAATGGTTCCTTTCCTTAAAATTCTACATTTTAACCACAAAACCAAGCAAAAACTTAGAACTTCTAATCACTTTTCTCTTGACCCTCCAAACACAAATTAATGTGAAAGGTGTCATTATCTTCAGCTATTCCTCTCCAATAACGTTTACTTATAATTATCCTTCCTATCCTCGACAGTACCTTCCTGATATGATGCAGCTAGATGTGATAAAGCACATGCTAAGAAACAGAAATTTTAAGGATTTTTATATCTGGAGTGCAAGCCATTCCTGTGGAAAGCTTGCTCCAATTTAGGCCCATAACAATTGTATACAGCAGACATACCTTTCCTAGAAACAGCATAAAATCCCCTACTGTGTTTATGGCAGCCACTCGCAAAGCATTTTCCACTAGAATAACAAAGGCATCCTTTGCTGAGGTGCAGAAGTTGGTGCTGTTGATAGCTGTGGCTGTATACGCATTCTGCAAAAAGGAGGATGAAGACTCATTCAGAAAATTAACAGATACTTCAGAGGGAGGTGGAGAAAGGAGAGAGGAAAGATACGGTGTCTGAATAAGTCACATAAGTCACACAATGTTAATGAACAAAGATTCTCTTGAGAGTTGTTGAATCGAGCAGTACATACCAGTTGACAGAAAACTACAGAGGTAGAGAATTACTATTCTTGTCCTCTTTGGCTCATCATTTATGCATTAACAAGTTTATGTCAAAAAAACTAATTAAACAGAATTTGCAATTTCTCTGCAGGAGGAGGTGAGCAGTGGCATAACTACGACAATTAAGTAGTTAGAAAAACAATGTGAAAAAATAGAAGAGTTTGAGAGTCATACAAGTCCACCAAGATAATTTCCAGATACTTCACTAGACTGCATTCAAGGTCAGCCAGGACAAATTTTAAGGATTATATTGAGTTCTTTTTAGATGCTGTCTTTTTATTTTCTGTATTTCCATAAGTAAAAAACCTAGCAACAGTGAAAAAGATATTAGAGGGATATTTATAGATATACTTAACACAAGTGGAACCACAGGCCAGTAAAAACTCTTTTATAAAGGGCTCTGACCAGCCACTGTGTTATAACTTGCAACTCTTTTTCCATATCATAGATGACAATTTCATGTTACATATGGTTTTACAGTTGCATGACTATAAATTATTACACCTAAAAAAGCTTCACTCTCTTTTCACAGCAAGCATACCTTGAAACGCAGATACAGTTTGAGAGAGTGGGCATAAGACAGAACATCATCAACAATTGAATAAATTGTTAAAAAGTTGAGAAACCATGGTCACAAAGATGAATACTGGCTATTTTTCACCCTTGCAGTGTAAACAAAGACTAATGTAGTGATTTGCAGTGCAATTTCAGTAACGGAGACAAGACTAAAGTATTGTCATTCAAGTTCAGTTCTAGATGATGATACGTTACGGGTCAGTCTCAGACTGTATTCTGGGAACATATATATAAAAGAAACTTTAGGGCCTAGGGACAGCTGGTGAGGGAATATGGAGCACAGATTCTTTTTCCCTCTTGCCATCCAGTTGTGGGCAGTGACAGTGGAAGAAACAGACAGACCCAGTCTACTTGTACCTCCCTCTGTGGCTAGTTTCACTGCCACAACTTTTGATTTTGTGGTAACAGGATGATCCACATGGCACCAGGTAGAATTCACCTTTCTAAAAGGAGGAAAAGCGGTCTGACTCATGAGCCAGTGAGGCTCGCTGGCAGAGCTTTAAAGCAGCCTTGAAGGCAGAGGGG